GTCTTCTTTGTTATTGCCATCTCGTGCTCTCCTCCACCTCCTTTTGCCCAGACGGGATCCATCAGACTAGGCCGATTATCTCGTTTCAGCTCGTGGCTGCGACCTTCGTCATCAGGATATTGAGACTATCCACAGGTTTATTTGTGATTCCTCTGAACAGTTGCTGTCAAATCTCTGAATTGATCACTGCTATCTATCTTATTCTACGATCCGTCACCATTTATAGAGGATTGCAGCAACCTCCGTCCAGTGCCAAATTCTCACTGCCGCGGCTGTCCATCCAATATGGCGGCCCACAGCTATTACAACGGCGGCTACAGTAACAATCCTCCAACCTACGAGCAAGCCTTTCCTCACACCGAACCCGTCGATCGCGTCTCTCCGGTCTCACAGGGGCATGGTTACACAGGTAACAGCGGACACCCGTATGCAACTGCCGACTATGACTCTCATGATCTTCGGCACAGCCAACAATCGATCGAATCAGATCAGGGGCCATATGTAGCGGGCGGCAGGTTCAATGAGGCCGATCACTACTCCGACAATATACCTCTGAAAGCACACAATCAGTATCCAAATGGATCTCCACCGCCAAGTTGGATGCAGCAGCCAACTCAATACGCGCCAGAACCCACGGCAATGGAGCCCGCCGGGCCCCCAGTTGGTCCGATGAGGAGACAGAAGAAGGGGATATTTAAGAAGAAGATTGCTTGGGTGACATATACATTTACCATAGCCCAGATTATCGTTTTTATCGTCGAGCTGGTGAAGAATGGTATGTGCTCTTAGCGATGCGTTCTTCCGCTGGAGGTCCTTCCTACTGACTTTTTGCAGCTCAACTTACAGGAAGCCCGATCGAACTCCACCCCCAGTTCAACCCGATGATTGGCCCTTCGCCGTACGTTCAGATCAACATGGGAGCGAGGTACACGCCGTGTATGAAGAACGTGGACAAGATTCAGAATTCGGCCGTGGAGTTTCTGTTCCCGTGTCCTAACGCGACATCGACCGCGGATTATGTATGCACACTCTCGGAGCTGTGCGGTTTCAATGGAGTGCCGAACCCGGTCCCAGGCGGCTCCCTGGACGATCGCCCTGAGCCAAATCAATGGTTCCGGTTCATCATTCCCATGTTCCTTCACACCGGGGTTATCCACATCGGGTTCAACTTGCTGGTTCAAATGACGATGGGCGCGGATATGGAGAGAACGGTCGGATGGTGGCGGTACGCCCTTGTCTACTTGGCCAGCGGTATCTGGGGTTTCGTGCTCGGCGGAAACTACGCAGCTCAGGGCGAGAGTTCTTGCGGCTGCTCGGGCAGTCTCTTCGGCATCCTGGCTCTCTATATCTTGGATCTCCTCTACACATGGGGTGAACGGTCGAGTCCATGGGTTGAGCTGGTGATCATGGTTCTTGGTATCGCCATTTCTTTCGTGCTGGGGTTGCTTCCGGGCTTGGACAACTTTTCACACATTGGAGGCTTCACCATGGGTCTCGCGTCTGGTCTCTGTATTATGAGATCTCCCAATGCTCTTCGCGAACGCATTGGTCTTGCCCGTAACCCATACGTGGCCATGACGGGTGCCGCGGGTGCCAGCACTGTCCCAGAAAATAAGGTCACCAACCCTGGCTCAAGCATTGCCGAATTTTTCAAGGCTCGCAAGGGCCCCAAAAGCTCGAAGGATTCAAGTGCTCTGGCTTTCTTCAAGGGTCGCAAACCACTGTGGTGGGCTTGGTGGTTGGTACGACTCGGGGCATTGGTTGCAGTCCTCGTGGGCTTCATCTTGCTTATTGTGGACTTTTACAAGTATCACACCTCAAATTGCTCGTGGTGCTACAGACTGAGCTGCTTGGTGAGTCGTCTCGATTGAATCTAGATCCGTGACATACTAACACTTTGAAGCCGGTCAATGATTGGTGCGAGCAGGGTCAGATCACAGTTGTCAACACAACCACAACAAACTAGTTTCATTTTTGTGCCATCGAGAAGATTGGGAGAAGGACATCGGAGCAAGAGAGGAATCTAGATCCGCTTTCTCAAAGACATAGCGTATAAAGTGGTTCAAGCAGACCGCATCTCGATTCTGTTCTTATCACCAAGTGGCGTTCTTTTGGTATTTATTGGGATGATTTTGATGTTACTATACCCAGGAAGAGAATATGTCTATGGACTGGAATCTCAATCACAGAGTGACAATTCAGCTGTCTGATTCCTAAAATAACCTACTACTTGCACAACAGTCAAGGGTGGCTGTGGCTGACGCCAACCACGTGTAGAATTACGCATGCATCGATACCTTAGGTGGCTGTGCAGTTGGTAATTACCGTACGATACCGCTATCCTCTCGTCATCAAGACGGCTATCTCAGAGATCCGCAATCATCCACCAGGCTCCAGTTCATCATCATCATCATCATCATCATCGCATTGTTTTGAGTGCTCTGGATCGTGCCAGTTTTTCAATTGCTTTTCTTCGTCTTGCTTTTGTTTTCACTATCCTCTTTAATCTTCGAATACCAAGTCTTCCTTGTTATTAACCATTACTGTGCTACTCGCCAACCAACTATACCGCTCCAGAATCTAGTTCGCAATGATCGCCTACTCATAGATCGTCTCGATGCACTCGTTCTAGCTGTTAGATATACACCTGCAGTCACGATGGCAACCCTGGCGACATCGCCGCCAACGTCTCCATCCTGGCCCAAACGCCGCCCGCGCGCCTGGGCCCTCCGGTGCGAACGATATTGTTGCGCTGCGGTAACGTATTTTCCTCTGGCATTTGTGTACAGTCTGACGACGTGGGCGGTCTACGTCGAAGCGAGTACCGGGTTGAAGCCGTCGCGAAGCCCATGGATCGGTACGTTGCGAATGGACCTGTGCGAGACAATGTGCGGATGGGGATCGGAAACTGACTGGTGTTTGTAATAGGGTTACCGAGTACGATACTGGGGGTCCTTCTCTACATATGCCTTAATATCTCGTACACGGTGGCGGTCTTTACGGATCCCGGATCGCCGCTGACGACTGGGGCTGGTCGGCATCAATACAGTGCGCTGCCTGTCACCGAGTTGCCGGAGTATACGGCGTACACGGTGAACTCGACTGGGGGATCTCGGTTTTGCAAGAAATGTCAGTGTCCGAAGCCGGACCGGGCGCACCATTGCTCGACGTGTAAGCGATGCGTGCTGAAGATGGACCATCACTGTCCGTGGCTTGCGACTTGTGTGGGGCTGTACAATTACAAGGCGTTTCTGCTGTTCTTGGTCTATACGTCGCTGTTCTGCTGGGTGGATTTTGCGGTGGCGGCAACGTGGATTTGGACGGAGGTGTTTAATGATGCTCCGTATCTGGAGTCGATGCTGCCGGTGAATGTGGTGTTGCTGGCTATTTTGGGCGGGATTATTGGACTGGTGCTGACGGGGTTCACGGCATGGCATATCAGTCTTGCGGTCCGGGGCATGACGACGATCGAATGTTTGGAGAAGACGCGGTATGTGTCGCCATTGCGGAAAGCGCTGGATCGTCACCGCTATCAGCACATACTGGGGAACCACGGGGATGGTGACGGGGACAGTCCCGCTCCGGACAGCTTTGGCCACCGGCTGCAGGATTACGGGCAGCAGATTCTCGAAGCGCATGCTAATGCGATTCCCGGGGTTACTCGGGCCGAGGAAGGGGAGGAGCGGCTCTCTCCGGCACCAGGGCAGCCCACTGGCCATGGGGTGTCCGATGATCAACTCACGCCCGCCCAACAGGCGCTGACACGATCGTTTGCGGAGCTGGAAAGACAGCGTGAGCACGACAGATACCAGGATTACCTGAACGAGGAGGATAACGGAAAGTTACCGCACGCGTTTGATCTCGGGTGGCGCAAGAATCTCCTGCATCTGTTCGGCAACCGGCCCCTACTCTGGCCCATCCCTGTGTGCACGACCACCGGCGATGGTTGGCGCTGGGAACCGAGCAGGAAATTTCTTGAAGCGCAAGAAGGACTACGTCTAAAGCGAGAACAGGACATGGCCAACCAGCAGCATTACTACCGTGACCTGTACTCACGTAACATGAACAACAGCCGAGCCTGGCTAGGGACGGACGCTGCAGCCCCCACATGGAATCCGAATCAGCCGTTAGACAGCTTCCGAAACCTGGAACGGCCCGCTACGGGGGTGTCGATGCAGACTTTGGCCCCCATGTCCCCGCGACCACGGCCGGGTGATAGTGATTTCGAGGATGATATCAGTGAGACTGACCTTTTGAACCAAGGCTCCGTGAGCAACCCGGGAGCCGTCGCCGCAAACGGGGCTGTAGGCCGATCGCGAAAACCGGACGAGGCAGGCAGCGCGACCACTAACCGACGAGAGGACTCGAGCGAGTGGCGGGACTGGGATTGATGACCTTGGGTTTTGCTAGTTCTTTTGTTACTTGCAGTCTGGTCTTGGACATAGCCGGAACATGCATACATGAATAGGTCGTACGGAGTATATACTTCTGATATGAGGAGATGAAATTAATACGGGCGCAATTTCTGTACGATATCTCTGGTTAGATCTGAAGGAGTATTAGATTAAAATGGCTTATCTGGTGCTGCTAAGGAGACTCCATTGCGAGAGTTGATTGGTTGCCTGAGGTATACACGAATTTCTCCGTAGCGCGTGGAAACTTCAACGTCATTTGAATAGGACAAGCTGGCATTTTTCTATCTCGCCCTCGACGGGGTATTTATTCACTCCATCTCCTGGACTACATACAAGCAGTACTAGTTCTGATAATCCATGAAGGTTGACATGTTCCAATGTCTACATAGGAACATTTGACGCCTGTATAGTGGTCGCCACCTTATCAGTCATCAGCCATCACACGCCAATCTGATAACCTCTATCAGATCTACTGTCTACATCCAACCCGCCTCAGTCCAACACACACACAACATCCCATCCTACAACAAGACAACTGGCTCTGCTGCGCATCGCATCGCATCGCATCGCTCCACCACGCCAGCAATGACGTCCCCCTCCCACCGACGCCTCCTAAAAGAAGCCTCCGAACTCGCCTCCCACCCCTCCCCACACTTCACCGCACACCCGGTCTCCGACTCCAACCTCTACGACTGGCACTTCACCCTCGCCGGACCGCCGCCGCCCTCGCCCTACGCCGGCGGCATCTACCACGGCCGCATCGTCCTCCCCGCAACCTACCCGCTGCGCCCGCCGTCCTTCCGCTTCCTCACCCCCTCCGGCCGCTTCGAGGTCAACCGCGAGATCTGCCTGAGTATCTCGGGCCACCACGAGGAGACGTGGCAGCCCGCGTGGGGGATCCGGACGGCGCTGATTGCGCTGCGGAGTTTCATGGATGGGGATGCGAAGGGGCAGGTTGGGGGGCTGGATGTGGGCGACGGTGTGAGGAGGCAGTATGCGGCTGAGAGCCGGGGGTGGGTGTG